ATCCCCTTCGCTACAGGAAACAACAACCACCTCCGAGCTACCAAACCTAAATGCTAAAATTACCAAGTTACCCTAATATTGTCACTATTGGTAGGAACATTAGCAGCTGTTTGTGTCCATGTGTAACGCTGACTTATTCTAAAGGTGGGGTAGGCAATTCTGGAGGAATCCAAAACCATGACACATAACATGGTATAGTGAAGAAAGACACAGCAAGTAATGTAACTAATATTTGCTGGGCTGTGGGTTAGTAAACTGTTGCTAAAGTTAAGCAGCTTATATGCGCAGAGGACGCACACTGGCTCCAGACACAACTCCCCTGCTACTACAGCTAACGTCTCAACAACAGCGTATCAGATGAATGTCCGTGGGAAAATAATTCATTGTTACCTGACACACAAATCCTGGCTGGAATGGCTGGAATAACAAGTTAGTGTTGTGTGGCTCAGTCCAATCCACTTTGTTGATTTTCCATTTACAGAGCGAGAGCTGGGTACAACCACCAGATTCTTTTCAGTGCACACACACAGTGATGGTAGACCGTGACGAGATATTCACTGAATTTGAAAAAAGAATCATATTACCAAGAATCGCTTACCCCACCTCTAAAGGTGCAGTGTGCAATGTGGCAGAAATGGATTGTTGTGTGTTTGTTACCTAAAGACCTTTTAAATACTTGCTTGCGAATATGTTGCATCAAAACGATTCATACCGGCAGCGATGCAAATTTGTGACACATTAAAATTGTATTGTATTTTATCACTTGCATTATTATTGGTTGCTGATTTTAATGTGTTCTTGCCCATAGTGTTTTGTTTTTTGTTATTTTTTGTTTCTTGGTTTCTGTAGCACTTTCAGATTTTTTTACAAATAAAATGTATTATTATTATTATTAATAAATATAAAATTAAATCCACACACACTGCGGAGCAGGACAGTGGTGATGAGAAACAAACAATTAACAGGTCCACAACACCGCCATCAGTTGTGATGTGACGTCTCTTCCGTACAATGTGATTGGTTGATGCCTTTATTTGCGGTGTTAAAGCTCAGAAAAATCAACCTCAATCTCAGTCAAACTCCCCCAGTGTGTAAAGGCCTTATAGTTTTGATCTACGGAGCTCATGGGTCCTCTTCAATGGAGGCCGCCCATGGATGTATAAAGAGAGCTGGATACACTGTTGTAGGCAGCACTACATTCATTCCTCAGTGCAACATGAAGCCAAAAAAGCCACTTCCAAAGAAATTACCAGGATGAATGCATACAGACACTTCAGGGGGCCAAAATAGACAGGAAAGGGGGCGAGAAAGGAGATGACATGCACCAAAGGGCCTCAGGTCAGAGTCAACCCATGACTCAGCCTGGTTGCAGTAGGTGAGCTATGCCAATGGATCATATTCTGATACTACAATGATTCATTAGGGGGTTGTAATGCTCAAAAAATTTATCCAATGTTTTACAGCTGCTTCTCTCGCAATGTAAGTTCATGGGAAAATGTTTTTGGACCAGTGTGCATCATGTGATAGACGCCATTGCTGTAATTACACGGTTTGGCCACTATGTCAAGTCTGGCGCTCATCCTCTGAACCACCATGTTTCAACCAGAACGGATAGACCAAACACTGGGAAAGTAATGGGAAGGATTGCCGTATCACCTGCATGCAAAATTTGACTTTGGGGTATACTGCATGCAGTTTTAAAGTCATGATTGCACCAAAGATACTTTTAGCTCCTAGTTTAGTTCCTGAGATCAGTAGCCCTGATTCCATACCATGTGTTACTAGTAGTCACAAACTAAGCCTACCCTTTAACTTGACAGGGTTGATGGTTAGGTCCAATGCTACATTACCGACCAGGCAAATCAGGCACTGCAATGGACCTCAGACATGTAGTCTGAAAGCCCCCTGATTTGGCAACAGTTTGTAGTAATTTGATCAGTTGCAAATTTGTACTGAAGCACAACATAAACTTAAAATGGTGAAGGCTTTAATGTGGCTCTTGCATTTTTTCCTATTTTGTCATGTCAAAATATAGTTTAAAACGTGTAATTGTACTTAAACTTAGTAAATGTAGGAACTCAATGGGTTCTTAAAGGTTGGCTAATTTATGTGCTGGGGCCACGTAGCAGGTTGACACGGCCATGGGTAGGTGGTTTAAACATAAATTCGCTTATTTTAAGTTCTGCAAACTAACTACAGTCCTCAGATATGTAGTAGAATGTAGCGGAGTTAAAAGTAAAATACTTCTTTTAAAAACATATCTCCAGAGTGTGCTTAAGTACTGTAGCAAATGAATATCAGGATTTTCTACCAAAATATAAAAATCGATATATTTTCTAAATTATTACTCCAAGCAACACAACAGTTTATGTTTAAGCCATCACGCCATTCTCTGCCTTTGAGGAGAGAGGAAATACCACATTCAACCAGAGGCCTCACCCAGAGCAACTCATGCTGGGAATAAGGAGTAATCATCTTGTGGGGTGGGTCGGGGGAAGAGGAATAATACTTTACGGGAAGGAATATCTCCCCAGTGAGAGGATTGGCGAAGAACACAATGTGTGTGTGTGTGTGTGTGTGTGTGTGTGTGTGTGTGTGTGTGGGGTGCACATAAGGCATACGTGCTGAAAAGTCAGATTGTACAAACATGCATGTGGAAATAGCATTTCAGTGATTCTTGCATTCCTGGCATTCCTTCCTGTGAATTTCCAGTCAGCATGATGCTTGTTGTTCCGGAGCTCTGACATCACGAGGGGGTTCCACTCTGCCGTCCACATTCTGCCTCCCGCTCTCTCACAATCTCACCCATATTTGGAAGTGAGAGGAAGGGAATCCCAGATGATGACTCAAAGGCTTCTGCTGCCAAGGGGAATTCTCTCCACATCTGTTTTTGTGTGCGTATGTGTGTGTGTGTGTGCATGCCTATTATTAATGTGTATCAATGTATACATTACCTCCTCGAGCTGTTGATGGAGTTTTCATCTGTAGGGAATTCAAAATGGTAACGTGGCTTCAACGGCTATGAGAAATAGCCCCGTGTTTGCATCTATACAGAAAAAGTGGCACCCAGAGTGATGTTGTCTTTCTATTTATAACCTGCTTCTCTTGGCAGCCATGATGGTTAAAAAAGAACTGTAGTGAATATGCATGCTCTAAAATCAGCTCTTTTCACTCTAGAAAATCCTCTAGATAGACAATGAAGGGGGTAAAAATACTCTCTTGATAATGCACAGCACATGGTGGTGACATGACAGCTCAAATCCATGTGTAAGCTGTAACCAGTCATCCTGCATTGGACCACCACAAATGAGGCCACAGAGATAGATAGGACCATGGGCTGTTCAATGTGCTCAGCAGAGTGTGACCAACTGTCTACAGCCTGCTGGCTGCAATAAACTCCTACCTCCACAGAGAAGTTTATTGGAATCGTCTTATTTCTAACAAGAAATAGAAAGCTCAAAAGTGAATTACATAGGGAAGCAGGAAGTAGCGCTTGAATGGTAGACTGAAAGAACGGACATGGCTCTGGCTGTGCTGAAATTCTCTTTCTTGGATGTTATGATCGATGAGGATTTGGGTTTGGGAGAGGATAGAAGGGTCTCGGACTCCGGATCTACGAAGCCATATCGGGGCCTAAATTTAGACCCACTTTGTTCTCGTCTGCATGCTGGTGACAGAGGACTCGGCTCTCTGGGGTTGTCTGTGGTCCAGTGTATCAGAAAGGCTGCTGTTGTTCTCCCTGGCAGACAGAAACACAGACGTTCCCTCAAGCAGCCCAAAAAGAAAGAAAGCTTTCATGGAATATTCTGTTTAGCTGCAGACTGTTGTGTATGATACTCCCGGGACCCATAAAACAAGTAATTCACAGACAATATCTCACCCACGCTCTCTTTGCCACAGACTACAGCAACATAAATCTTACTGATTTCAAGGAGTTGAGACAGTGTTCAAAGCATTCAGAGCATGTGTTGCTCAAATCTGGGAAAATGGGCCTGCAAGGCAACATTATTTTTAAATGGACAGAGAAGAAAGTGATACAATTCCCCCAAAAAATGATATGCAGGAAAAGGTGACAGCATGAAAATGATCAAGGCTGAGACACTTGAAGCCACAATAGTCCCTCCAAATTGGCTCTAGTTTTCCTCTACATCATGCTACTCCCCACAGGGACACTGTATGGCGATGTTTAAAAGCTCAGTCACCCAGCACACAAATCCCTCCCTTCCTCATTACCAAAACAAGCTAATTAAAAACCTGTTAATGAGCTGTGTTGTGGGTGTCTTTAGGAGAGAGGGAAATCAACAGCTCAAAAAAGCTATATAAACATATCAGAGGGACCCCTGAACAGTTAAACAAATTGATGACACAGCTATAGTCATCTTATGGGAATGAAAACACACACAATGGGATGCATGCATCCCCATTTGAGCATGCATTTACACATGAACAGTACAGAAGGAAAAAAAACAAGTGACTCACTGAAAACCAACTGGGACACACAGTGTCATATCCTGAGAGAGCGAGTGAGAGATGCCCTCCTCTTACTGAAGGACAGATGGATCCCCCAATCTGTTGTGTGCCAGTGTGCCAAAGGACAACTGGTCACCAAACATCCTGCACCTGACAGTGGAGACCTTTTGGCTCTCGGTGAAGACCAAACCATATTTCACAAATATCAGCTAAGTGGCTGGTAGGTAGGTAAACTGTGCAGGACAGACCCAAATGTTACCATGTTATTTTTATCAAAGTTCTTGCGCGACCTCTAGCGGCATTCATCGGAAAATTCACGTTGGCGTGACGTCATCGCGGACTGTTCCACTGCGTTAAAATCCAGGGGGAGTTAAAAGTCTACCGAGGTGTCTTTTTCTGCTTCTTTTTGAGCTTGTTTCGACGCAAGAATATTTACGTATGCTTTTAAAAACGTGTTTAGTATTGCTTGTTTAAAAAATGATGGAATTGAGCTGACAGCGCAACAATAAAAACATCTTGTTTTCTCCTCTGTGACACAAACAGGAAGTGCACAGAGAGAGGCGCCTTTTCTGAGCTCATGTTGTCAGGCAAAAAGTAACCATTACGACCTGTAGGCCGACCCTGTATTTGGCCCAAAGAAGCTTTAGTTATATGTGAACAACAAACCACGTCAACAGAAATTCCTCCACTTACAACATGGCTGCTAAAAAGAAGCGAACCCCTAATGTGCAGACTGACAGCTGGGTTGTCATTGCCGCAGGTATGTTTAAGCAGTTTGAGCTAACGATAGCTAACCTCGCTATGTGCTGTAAGTTGCACAGGTTATAGTTATAGTCTAAAGTTATTAGACATTCATACCTCTGTCAGCACAACATTTAACTAGTGGCAGAACTGTTAGTCAATGTAGTAGCACGCCCCTAACTTAAGCTACATGTTATTACACGTTACTAAGTTACAACCAAAGTTAACTAACGCTAGTTAATGTTGTTGGACTCCAACAAAGTGAACGTCAGTCATTAACTAGTGCTTGATTCAGTGTTTAGTGAGATTAACGTTAGGCCTTTTGTTAATGATGGACCTTCCTTTTGTTTTGGTGTCCACAGACTCTGTCATCGACACACAGAAGCACGACAGTGACCCGGCTTTTGTGAGACTCAGGAATCCCTCTACAGGTCTCTGTTTTTTTTATTGTTATATATCTGTCTAGGGCTGCAACTAACAATATAATTATCCTAAGGTCTTTAAGCTACCAGAGGTTTCCAGAGCCCGAGGTGAAGTCTTCAAACTCATTGTTTTTGTCCATAACCTGATGATGGTTTAGATCCAGTTTGCTGTCACAGAGATTATAAAAAGCAAATATTCACATTTGAGACACTGTAATCATGTAATGTTTGGCATTATTGTTTATAAAAGGACTTAAATGATTGAAGGTTCCCTGTGGAGTTTTTGGTCCAGTAGCATGATGGACCATGATGGTTTTGTTTTTCTTGCATGCACATGAGGATACACACGTGTTATGCATCAGTATGACAACAAAAACAGAGAGGAAAGAGACAGTTAAATATGGATGTTGGATTGAAAATGTGCAACTTAGCAAATATTTTATGAGGAAGGAAATGCGTTCAACACATCTTTTAACACTGGGTTTAAACATGACTTTAAATAGTTTATGAGAAAATCCCACAGGGCACTTTAAATCAATGATCATGGATGCTGCAAATCAATTCTGATCATTATTGCTGCAGTCGTAACAACACATTAACATTAAGTCAAAATATAATAAAAGATAAAGCCAAGTAAACTTCAGCCTTTGACTTCTCGCAGCAGTCTAATTCAGTGAACTGACATGCATTATTTACAGATGTGTTAGTGAAAGTAACACAGTTCTCATTTTTGTATCCTGCAGATGCTGCGTCTCTGTATATGCTCGGTAGTGGCGATGTTCAGCTGTTTGAGGTCAAAGCGTTTGATGAAGATTTCCACTCCTGGTTTGTGGGCCAGACTGTACAGAGAGGTTGGTCTCACTCCTTATTGTTGTTGCTGTGTTCCCATTAAAATAATAATTTATGTGTGTTTTGAAGAATCACATTAGAAAAGTTAAATTTTCCTTTATTACATCATCTTTTACATCACCTTGTTCTGGTTTTCCGACTGGAGAACTGGCGCCACCTACTGCTTATCTCAAGATCCTACTCTTAATAATCGCAAAACAGTAGTAGATGGAAACAAGCATTCATTCACATTTTCTTTGGCCAATTTACTTGAAATTCGGTTAAAATGTGCAGTATATTTTGATGGAGACATGGCTGGTGTAAACTTCAAAACACTCCCAAGGTGGTTCACATTACCTTGAATCCCCATTAGCAGTGTTTGTCAGACGTAAAAAGAGTTTTTGTAATCAACACTTACAAAATCATATTTAGACTGTCTAGAGGAGTGTCCATATATCATGAAAACATACACCACACACAGACAAATAATATTGCGAAAGAGGACCTGCTGATACAAATTAAAACTAACCAACAGGTCTTTGACAAACTGGTTCAAGTTGTTTGTTGTAAACATGATGATGTTAACTGTGTGCATTTAAATATTCAGAGATGCTGCACTTTTATCCTGTAATTTCAACTCCTGGCCATGTGTTAATTAATTGTTCACAGTTGTCTCTTTTTTTAACAGATGGGAGGCTTCTCTTTGTAACACCAATGGATCCTCTCTATCTAATTTTGCCCTATTTGATTAAATCTGGCAGAGAGGTAAGAAACAGAACTCTCTGCTGTGATGTTTTCATGCTGATCATTGTGGTGTAATGCAGTCTTGCTCTGCGCCTTAACGGCTCTGCCAGAGCAAAGAGTTTGATTCCCTCTACAGTTTCACAAACCGTGCGATATATTGTTACAGTGTTATCCAGGGCTAAACAAGATCAGTAAATATAAATCAGCACAATTAGGGGAAGAAGGGGAAGTGGTAAGCTTAGGTGTAATAAAACAAAAAAACTTTACTTCTTCCAACTGTCTCACAGTAATTGTATCTTATTAATTTAGTACACACAGAGATTAGTGCTGTCAAACGATTAAAATATTTAATCGCGATTAATCAGAACTGGGCCCTCATTAAATTATGGATTAATATATATATATTTTTTTTAAATAGGCCTATTTGTGGAAAGAATGTACAATATTTGAGTTACATAACATCTTTTTATTTGTGTTCTTCCTAATTGTCCTTGAAATGGTGGTCAAGAACCCCCCCACCCCCAACACAAAAATGGTTTGGCCACTGATCGAAATTTGATGTTGTGTTGATTTGAAGTTCAGTACGCTAAAAAGGTCCGGTCAGCACAAGTCCGGTGCTCAGAAAATGAAAGAAAAGAGAAGAGAAGAAGAAAATAAAGAGGCCTTAGAGATTTTAAATATTTAAAAAAAAAGGTGGTGACAGTGAAGCTGGAACTAGTAAAGTTAACGTAGAGCAAAGTAAGAAACAGCGCAGCCAACGTTTAGCAGCCTTGTAACGTAACCTAACAGACCAGCTCTAATGTTAACGTCCATCAGCTTGTATAAGTGCCTGACACAACACGTTATCTCCGACAGAAACAGCTGAGTTTGGTAGCTCCGTCAGAGAGGATGAGACAGAGAGGAGAGAGATCCAGCTGCAGGCAGGTGACAGAGAGAGTGATGCAGGAGGGGCCCGCTGCCCCGCAATGGAGGGACAGAGTCAGGCTACCGGTGAGAGAGAGAGAGAGAGAGAGAGAGTCACAGTGGAGCGGGAGGGGCCCGCTGCCTCGTCGGAGAGTCTGAGCAGAATGGGTCAGAGATCACACACTTAATTTCAGCGATCCTGCATTATGGCCAACTAGAATGACCGACTGATAGAGTGAACCTCGTACGTGTGATGGCGCCTTTCTCAGAGAGGGAATTGCCAGCAGATGCAGAGGGCAGGGAATTCCCAAACTATCTGACATATTCCACATCCCACAATGGAAGGGAAAAAATCGATAGGGACTGGATAGTATAGCAGCTCAAAAAAGGCCTTATTTTGCCTACCATGCTTGCTGTTCTCCTTTGAAGTAGAGAAAAAGTCAATTAGGGCACTAAATTCCAGAAATTTACAGAAAGCTTTATGAGAGATTTCCAGAACATGAAAGAAACCGTGTACACAAACATTGTTATTGGAAGGAGAGGAAGAGCAGAGGAAAAGGAGAGATCTGGGCGTGGGGGGGGCCCATCTAAGATTATCTCGTCCCGGGCCCAGGCAAGACTGTCAGCTGGCCTGCCTTGCTTTGAGGAGGGGCGGAGAATTCACATCAGCTGTGTGTTTGGCCATCAAGTGGTAATTCAGACTGGACGTGCTGCGATGATAGCTCAGTTCACAACGACAAAACACACACATCACTTTGGTCTTGTCAATGAAACCATTTGGCAACTTTTAAAAAGTAAACTTTCCATTCAGAATATTATTTGCATCCATTTTGGCGTCTCGCGCTCGCCATCCACTCAAAACATAATGTCTACTACTCTTAAACAAGTGTGTGCCGCGTGCCTGTTTCGTTGGTTTCCGGTCTAGCTAGATACGGTGTGGTGTTGTAGTTTTTCTAACGTTACTAGTTGTTGCAACAGCATGTGAAAAAACTACAAAGTGTGCTAGGCCAAACGTTAATCTCACGAAAAAAAAATTGACGCCGTTAATAACGCGTTTAACTGACAGCACTAATAGAGATGAATGTTAAAACATTTCCTGGTTAATGTGTTGGAACTATTTCTTATCAAACAATCATAGGGAGCACCATTTCGAAAGCTTTGTATTAGGGATGTCCCAATCAAGTTTGTTTGCCCTCAATCCGAGTCATTTAATACTGAGTGTGTGCCGCTACTGAGTACGGATAACAAAGTGGACTATAAAACAGCCTAACAAACCCTCAGTGTAATCTTTTTTGGACTTGTTGTCATCTTGAGTGAATTTCTTTCTCCATTTAAAAGTGTCTTGCAGTGTTTTCTGCTTTGGTGCAGCCTTTGTTTGAGTTACCTGTTGAATGTTTATTTTCATCTGCTTAGTCTGTACATCTTTTGCGTCGATTACATTAATAAATTACTCACATAGGCTCTTTGTTGGCGGGGCATTTGTTGCAATTGCAAAAAAGTGCACACAGAACTCAGGAGGAGGAGAGACAGACAGCGGAGAGAGCTGACAACGGCTACACTGCATGAACTTTTGAGAGTGCGACAGCTGATGATTTAAACGATTTCTCTTTGATTGGGACATCCCTACTCTGTATTCATACAGCGGTTGCCAGGTTGAGATTTCTTCTCGCAGTCAAAGTGTCAGGTTGCTAATGGTTGTCAACACATGCTGTAGCTGGGGATGCTGTGCAGAAATGGCTCCACATGTACAACTCCTTCAAGTTTTTTTCCTGTTTTATCTTTGTCATCTGTTGCTCAGGGGAAGTTCCAGCCTGTGGATCAAGTTGTTATGGATGAGGAATTCCCAGCTTGTTCAAGGCTGCTGAGCTGCACACGTTCCCTGACCTCCCTGCACCACATTACAGAGGAGAAAGGTGAAGTTTACTTTTGAAGCTAATGTCACTCAACTATAAAGTTATGTTGATTGCAATGTTTACATGCTGTGTTTCATACTTCTAGAGGTGGGAAAACTGAAGTTCCACCGATACAGTCAAGAGAAGACAATGGATTGGTTGAAGAAAAAGGTACTCCAATAATGTAGACATACCATTATCTTATATGAAAATTAAGACAAATCCTAGACAAATCCTTTTTACTGCACTGCAATACAAAAATGTTAGGAAACATGTGTTCATGTGAAACATGCCAAGCTGGCTTTACACAGTGGAATTACAGACAGTTTTTGATTGTTGATGTAGGTGGAGAGGACCGTCATTGTGCTCAAGAAGAGAAATATCTCTGTGGGGGAAAGAGTCAAATCCACAACATACATCAGAGTGAAGTCAGAGTCAGACTACCATGAGGGTAAGTCACCTCAGCTTCAGGCCACTTCACTGTTCCAGACAAGTACTGTCTTAATATTGTGGGGAATTCTAGTCTCACCTTCCTGTGAAAGGACGACATATATAGGTCTCATTTCTATTTTCTTCTCAGTTCCTTTTTTTGCAGCAGATAGGATGTTGACCAACAGATGGCAGTAATATTGCATAGTTTATATTTATGACTTATGATCCTCAAACAACATTTCCCCAGCCTCAAACTATATAAAACATAAAGTATAGTTATATTGCTAATTACTGGCACTGTCATTCTCTCTTTATGATACAGAGGACTACCTGCGCTATGCCCATGGCCTGATATCAGAGTACATCAGTGAGGACCTGAGCAAAGCCCTCCTCAAACACTTGCAGTAAGTTCAGACATCTAACACTTCCAAATTAGGATCATTATTACAGCTAAAGGTATGTAAAGGATGCAGATCAAGCATATTCTACTCCACAGGTTACCAGAGCTCACAAGCCCAAAGGAGACAGAACCTCCTACCAAGGTACGTTTGTGTCTCTTAAGACATGACTGAAGCCTGTATATCAGACTCTCTTGTCTTTCTTCATGCTGCTGAAACTGCCTTGCATGTTTTCTGTAGTCCTCCACCTTGCTCTACCGTGGTTGTGTTTGCATATTTTTGATTATGCCTTAGAGATATGATCCTCATATGTGTGTTTTTAACTTGGGTTATAAGAGTGTGACGTCATCCCAGCTCACGGTGGCGTGTGTTTCTGTGGTCTTTGTCATGAAAAGCATTTCTTACTTCCTCGTTTGGCAGAAGCGGAAACTTTCAGACAATCCGGTGGAGGCCGGAGAGGACTACACCAAATTCAACAGTGCAGACTTTGTGCGGAAAGTGAGTGTGTACGGAGCAGTCTGGCTGAGTGGACCAAACAATTATTGGAGGAATATGTGCTTTGATCATCAGCATTGATTATGTGATAATGGCTAAAGTGATCCTTTGTTTGCTTTCATCCCTTTTCAGTCTTTTTTTACTATTTTGTCCCGAAGACCTTGATTTCTTAGTGTTGCTCTTGCTTTCTTTAAGCTTTGTCTGTAGAGTATACAAATGGGTCAAAGGGGCTTCCACCTCATGGAAATGTGTTTCTCCTCAGCCGGATAGATAGAAGTTCATGATGTGTAACGCATTACCTGCTGTCTCTTTGCAAAGTTGTTGAGTTATGTTGATTTTTTTAATTCCCCTTATTCCAGCCGCCCAAGAAGATGACTGCTGCTCAGAAAAGTCTGGCTAAGGTGGACAAGTCCGGCATGAAGCCTATGTCATCCTTCTTCAGCCCCAAGGTCAAATCAGAGAAAAAATGATTGTTGTATAGTTTCTGGTTTTGTATGTGACACATTTGTAATAAAGAAAAGAAAACTGATTCGACATGATTTTCATTTTAAATGGTTTGAATGAAATGTTGAGATGAGACTGAGTAGGAAAAAGAATAAGTAATTTTGCATTATTAATTTTAACATTACCACATTATTGTTTGTATTTTGCATAATATCAGCATGCTAACATATAGCCAGTGGTATGTAAGCATGCAGATTATTCAGAGTTTATTTAATATTCAATTAACTTTATTTGAACTATTCCTTCAACTCAGCCTTTGAACTGAGCGTGAACCTCCCTCTGAAATGAAAGTATTAATGCCGTACTCTGAGATATGTTTACCTTTCAGCCATTCTTATTGCCAGGAAGGACAGTGCTGCATTTTTCCGCTGGCTTTGATACCTTGAAGGAATGCGGTCTCTACAGATCTGAACCATAAACTGTACTTTAAATTAAATTCCATATAATTCAATATTCAATGTTTATCTTATTTAATTCAATTCAATTCAAAAGCACACTTCAAAGAAATGCTATTAACTGATGGGTTAGAGTAATCTTGAAATTTCGGAAGGAAGTTAGGAATACTGCATTAGAAGTCATCAAGTATATGTTCTCATTTAAAGTGGCATCCTATATGAACTGGATATTGATTGAGACTGAGCTTTATATCAATCTGTATCGTTTGCTTCAGGGAATTAAAATAATCCCTGAAGCAAACAACACTGGACAGGCCTTTTTTTAAAAAAGAGACATGCTGACATTTCACCGTAGGAAAAACATTTAATTAATGAGGGCTGGATTCCATTTAGCTGCTTCAGTTTGAGGGTCCTGGTATTGTGCATGCTGGTTCATCCTCACACTGTCATGACTTATGGGGACACTTTATCAGAACAGAGCAATTGTTCATGTTATTAGTAACATCTGTGCACTTCCTGATATGGCAAAAGATCTTGTGTGAAAAAATTGGGACCAAGAGGAATTAACTTTATGTAATCGGTGTTTTGTTGTTTTCAAACTTTACTTTATTAAAATTCCTTTAAATGTTTTATGCTAGTATGAATTGGCTGGATGGATTTTTAGCCACGCATGGTGTCCATACAAACTAAGTTGACCTCTACGTCAGCAGTGTGGCAGTGCGGCTGGTTTCAAATGTCTATCAAGCTTCACTGCTTTTTTAATTTGGGCTTGAAGCGCAGAGTCTGGAATGCGCTCTCGACCACTTTGGGCAGATGGATCGGGTTCCTCTGCAGCCGCAGTCGGCTACTCGTGGACCCGCTCTGGTTTTTCTTCTTCGGGGCGCTTTCCTTGGCACAGTCATGAACTGCTTTCTGTTTGGAGTCACCTGTGACCCGAGGAACCCGCAAGACCCAGTTAGAGTGGAGGTCGTGTTCGGCTGAGCTGGAGGCCACTGTGGGAGAGAGGAGCACAGAGCAAGAAACAGAATTATTTTTAGGCAGTGACCGTTTGAATGAGACTAAATAGCTGGTATAGATCATCAGCTGAATGAGACTAAATAGCTGGTATAGATCATCAGCTGGCCCCAAGAAACAGGAGCAATGCTGACACACTATGTTTGACTTCCCAAATCCGTAACCTCACCTACCTACCCCATCCAACCAGTTGTGGAATAAGAACAGACTTCACAGCAAACTATCACAGTGTTCACTAATAAAAGTAGTGATATAACAATCTACAAACAACCTGAAATTACATTTGCATATGAAAAACTGCAATTTAGAACTACAACTGATATAAGAAATAAAGTGCACAATATTCCCATTTTAAAGGGCTTGAAACTAATAAAACATCTAAAAAGTTGTTTTTAAATGTATTCCAACTGGTTGCTGTCTGATCATATCAAAACTGAAGTTGTCAAGCTCATGTTGTTATATTTATATTTATAGGTGCAATACAGGTGTAATTCATCCCGCCCTAACAGGTGCAACAACACTGACAGGAAAGTGATTGAGATGGCAATTAAGTGTAGTTTGTACACACTGACAGTCCAGACAGGAGTTCTAATCAGGGGCGATCAGTGAAAACTTCTGTGTGGGTGTACCATGGACGTGTTTAAAGCTTTAAGGAGTGAATGTTCATCTCTGACCTCAGCTATCTCAGAAGATCCATCAGTAAAAGTAACAATAAAAGCAAATACTGTCAAAAGTAAAAGCCTTGCAGTTAAAATATTACGTAAGTAAAAGTACAAAGCCTAAGTATTATCTGCTAAATAGAGTACTCAATGTAGAATGTCCCTTTTCTAAGTGTTATATTATTGTATGTATTGTCGAGGTAGATCTAATTTATTTGGTATCTTTATTATATTTATTTTCTACTCCAGATAAATATAGTGGACTAGAAGTGGAAGTAGTAAAGTGCAATGCAATACCTCAGATTTATACAGTATTATCAAGTATAGTTTTTGAGCAAATATATTAAGTCTGCCTCCACTGAAAATATGTTTTTCTTTTTGTTGAATGTCGGAGCTTTGTGGTGCAGGATGATGTATGTGCAGAGTTTGATACAAATGGATAGATTGTGGAATGAAATGTGGTAGAAGGAGTGGAATTTAAAGGATTTTAATGCTTTTTTTAAAATATCTATCTAAAGGGGATCTTTAAGGAAATATTCTGATTCAGAAGTAAAATTAGGTAAAATGATCAGCAAAATGTACAAAGAGAAAAAAATACTCATTATGGCATATGAACAGCCCCTGTTATGTTTAGATTTAAATATATTATATAAATATAACATATTACATTAACATGTAAATAACATTTTAATGTCACAATGGAAATCATGCAACTATTCTACTTTGAATACTGTTGTGTTGTTGTATGTAAAGCAATACATATTCACATAATCCTCTTATATTTTATACACAATCAACAGTGCTTGAGTAAATCTACTTTCCACCAACTCTAACCTAAACACAACTGTTTGCAACTTAATACATATATATATATATGTGACAGTCTCTGGGTACGACTGTATTAGCATTTGACTCCAGGTCAGGTGATATTTATTTGTTTCACATTAAAACGAATCTAGTTAGAGAAGGATTTTAAACTCACCTATGAAGTCCACATCTGCGTGTCCATCATCAGTGTAAGGTTTGCACAGAGGCTCGCTGTCGCAGCTGGCGATGACCGCATCAAAGAACTGCAAAGTGTCCTCCTCATCGGGGACTGGAGGGGCAGAGGGTTTGGCCCTTGATATCTGTGGTTCAAACAAAAAGAATATATGGGAGGACATTTGTCTTTGATATCTCCTGCCACGCGCTCTGGGATACATGATGTAAACTTACCGGTTCTTCCTTTTTAGGCGGCGGGGGGCAGGCTTCTTCTTATTGGAGACTGTGGCCTTGGTGTCGTTGCTTTTCAAGTCACTCACACTCTTTGTGTATTGCCGCCTCAAAGCCACAAGTGCCTCCAGGTACTCCAGGCAGTTCTGATTCTGAGAGTAGAGCCATATCCTGTCCTCTTGTCTCTGATAATAGTACAAGGTCGACTCGATGCTCACCGTGCTTTTGCTCCGTTTTAAAGTGGAGCCAGCGGCTGCCTGAGTCCTCTCTCCCACCACCAGCATGGAAGTGCTGCGGACCAGCCGGACGGTGCAGGCGTTGTGGTAGTCCTGCTCGGACCGAAACCCACCACCACCTCCATTATCCCGCCCTCTGTGTCCGTGATGGTTGGGACGGAACACATTATTAATCTTCCTGAACATTCCTCTAAACGCAGTCTCTCAGGGTTGTTACACACTTAGATTCCTTGGTGTGTGTGAAACATACATCCATATTCGTCTCTTCAGGACAGCCAATACTTATCAAAACAAACAAACAAACAAACAAACAAACAAACAAGAGCTCTTATAAACCTGCCTGGAGCTGTTCACTATGACCAGTCGCTGTCCAGGGTGCTGAAATCGCCAAACTGCTCTCCTATTGGGACACAAAAACAAAAGCAGGTCTGAGCCTCTTGTCTAACCTGATCTCAACATGTCTTTAATGTTATCGGATGTTGCTGAGCAACATTGCTGTAGCAACGGGTCGGTAACTCTACACTTGGTGCTACCATTACTACCGAGCAGCAGTCCTGTGTCAGATATCCTGACTCATCCCAGACTTAGTGGTCAAAATAACAACAGCCAGCAATCCAACAAACTCCGGGCCTGTAGTTTCACTCCTTGTGGCCGTGAATCCACCTGTTCTATATATAACATGAGCCATGTGTTAGACAAGATAGAAGAGATGGAATAAAAAAGTATGAAAGTCTAATTTTGGGTTTTTTTAAAAAAAAAAATGTGTACAGAAGCAAAATAACAAATTCAGCTGTATGAATGACCTGGATATTGCAGCAGACTCGAGAAGTGATATTACGTTTGGCTTATGTCTAGGTTTCCTCGCCTAATTAATAATAAATCATTTTCTCTCGTGTTTCATGCGCATCTATTGTCGGGCTTCCCTGTCACATGCGGAGGAAGTCTGAATACAAGAGTCATATGAAACAGGCAGGGTACTTTCATCTCGGAAAAATCCCGGCCATAAATATAGCCTGAAAGTTTCAATCACTCTCATTAGATGACTGATTTAGATTTGCCTGTGAAAGACATAAGATTCATGCAGAAGTTTCTACCAGAGGAGGAGAAGAGAAAAACACTTTCACAACTGGTGAAATAAAGTGTAATTTCAAGGTCTCAGGCAAAGTTCAGCATTCACTTTAACATGCCGAAGAGAGGGCAGGGTTTCAAGGAGGAAGTGATGACTTATAGTTACATAACTGAGCGTGAAGTCACACTTCTGCTTTGGTGCAGACACAGATAACAGGAGGAGTGAAGCTATAAGCTGTCCTCAGAGAGCTAACTCAGTATTTGGGGTGTGACCTATCAGAAAACGAAAACAGGAATCTGTCGAGCTCTCTGTTTCCTGATATTTTTATCATATTAAATATGACTTTCTTTTCTGCTTTTCACATCACACCCACACCTGTTTGTTTTTACAAAGAAACAAAACTCCTCTGGTTTCTTATTGCAGCCTATTTTGCATCCATAAGAATAACAAGTGCAGTTTCACTTCATTTGGCAGGAAGACAAACTCATGCAGAGGTAGGTACATTCTTATTTATGCAAGGCTGTAAAATAGGTATAACTTAGTAAGAACTGCAGGGGAAGATGCCCAGCCTGTCTGTAAAAATCATATAAAAATAAGATATATTATTTGGCAAGAATATATTCATTAATCCAGATGCAACATTAAGTTTGCAGAAATCGGAAGAAAGACAATATCTGACATTCCCACTTCCTCTTGGGGTGGGTATAAAACAGCCCTCATACATGCATGTACAGTCTTGAATTAAATACAGTATACACATTTTGCTGGCTGTATCGATAGAAATTTCAATATTTTTAAGAAGTACTTTTCTCTAAAGACTGTGGAAGGACACTTAAAAGCTGAGAGACTGTGATTTCTGTCCAAGGTAGGAAGCTCTATGGTTTATCTGTATGATTGTTAAAGTAAGTGGCCCTTCTATATCCTCTTTTGGACATTTGCTGTTTGTTCAGGAATGAATACGATGATTAGAGTTGAAACCACTTTTAAGGAAGACTCATTCATGTAGTAATTAAAGTGATTGTTTGTGTATTTGTATACAGGCTCTAAATTCTGTGGTATGTGGCATTGGTCCATGCTATAAATTTATGCTGATAGTTGCATCTTTGTACATGTTGAATACTAACATGCAGTTCAAGGTTGTTGTTTTTTAAATTTTGTCATTATAACGCAAGATTGCACAATGCAGTGCAGTTATAGCCCCCTCCATGCTACACACACAGAACATGTAAAAACAGATATTCAAGTATTTAATCATTAGAACAGAATATAAACAATATGTGTGTGCTATTTGTTGCAGCCATGCTTTGTGAAGGCAGATTGTTTAGCATGATCTATGGTGAATTGGGAGAGCTGGATCCCCTCCCTTCTCAAAAGGGTCTCCAGAGTTCTCATGGGCTGCCGAGAGCAGCTGCTACCCTCATGCCAGGCTCCACCAGACACGCTCCACTCGTTCATCACAGTTCCCCCGAGCAGACAGGTTGTGCGGACAACAAGAGTGCTTCAGTGGAGCTGTACAATTCTCCGCTGCTCTCCTTGGATCTCCACAGTGCCCAGCCAGGCAGACAGATCTCTCCGGAGATAGAGATCCCAGCTCAGGCTTACTCAGGTGGTGACTCCCCTTTCTTGGTTCCCTCCTTCTGTCAGAGCATCTGCCAAAACTACAGTGACCTCCATATTGGAGGCGACCAGGTGCTGCCTCTCTCAGCCAACGACGGCGAGCTCCGGCTCTGTCCTGACGCCCAGGTTGTCGGCCCCTTCCTCCAGTCCTGCGATGTCCTCCCAGCTGTGGAGGATTCCCCCCCAGAACAAACATCTCAGGGTGGACTTCTGCATCCACTGAGGGGAGGTTCAAATCGCTGGAGGCTGGGCAGTGCCCGTGATAGGAGCTTTTTGTTTCAGGGGCGTGAAGGTCCATTCTCCAACTCTCTTCTAAATCAGTATCTGGAGCAGAAACTCATGGATTTGTACCAGCAATACATGATGGAGAACATGGCCAGGGAGGGGGCTTCAGGTTCGGATTCTGACACAGGCCCCATTTGCCCTCTGCTGGGCTCAGAGCTGGTCCTGACCAGCCTAGACCAGATCACTTTGCAGCTGAGTCGGGAAGGGAACCTGGAGGCCGGCCTGGCCAAGGATATGGTTCTCAGCTGCCTGTTACGGGTGGCTGGTGACAAGCAGTCAAGTGAAATCAGTACTCCCTTTCTGCAGATTTCAAATGAGACATCCAGGGAGCAGCTCACAGAGAATAAAGAGGAGTAACCCCAGTGTCAAGGAACTCATTCATCCAATTCTCCCTTTCATTTTAGTTTTTATTACCAATAAATAAGATGAAACTGACAACTGCATTTCATTAATTTTTACAAGCTGTTAAGTAGATGATGCTGAAAGCAAATTCTGTAGTAATTACCAGGAAAGTGTTCTGTATTTATGTATCCTCATTTTGACAGGCAGTTATACAACTGGTGTATGTGCATATGGTGTGCTGTTTTCAGTTTTGCAAAGGACAATAAAAACAGGAACTGAAAATTTAAACTTATCTTTCCTATTTTTCCTTCAACAGAACAACACGTCATCATCAACATCATATTCCTACTTTAACGATTAGCACATTGTATGTCTGATCATCATTTCTTCAGCTGATGTAAATGTATCTCTGTGGTTAAGTGCATCCTTGTCATCTTGGAAAATTATTCAAAATAATTTAATAGTTTGAAAATCATCAGTTTTGCTCCAGGTTTGTTTATTGGAATAAACTCTAGGATTAAAGTCCCCCTCCTGAATGTGTATGTGTATGTACGAGCATGATTTTTTGACTGAAGCCAATCGTGGCTCACAAACACTGTGAATTAACTTTCAAGTGAAATAGGACACATCTTGTGTCCAGCAGTTTGTAATATTTTTATTAATAACTTATGTAAGTGAAGCAAATTTCCCCAATCATTTTTTGTAAACAATATCTCTTAAAACATGTATTTTTATGTTCAGAGTATTGACATGTCTGTTGGCCCTACAGGGGAGAAGTACAGTACAAAGCCCAATGGAATAATTTCATATTGTGCCTTTAAACAGATAATATAGAATGCCACAATTAAATCAGTTGCTTATAAATATGTCATTTTGTGCCTAAAGATATATTTCATACATATAGATTGAATAGTTTATTCACATGCTGCCCTGTTAATGATGATGGTATCATGAATTACATGCTTCAAAATCTGCTGTTTTAATAAACAGTCACAAGGGGGAAGCATTATCACCAAACTTAATAACCCCAATGACTTTTATACACGTCTTCTACTCTATTTTCCTTTATTCCTCCTCTTCACTGTCAGTCCCTCCTCCCTCACCCAACTATCTATCCATCCACCTAATGCTTCCTATCATCTGCACCCTGCTGCTGCTGCTAATAAGGAGGCATAAGTCATAAGGACTGGGTTGTAAATCTGCAGCTCACAGGCAGTCGAGCACTAACACCAAGTTTTTACACTGTGTTTGTGATACTGGTTCCTCTACCGTGTATGCAAAATACAAGTTTAAGATAAGAGGTTATCTGCACTACGTGATTTATTTTATTTGCTCCAGCACAACAAATGAGAAACTCAGCAGGGCTGCAGACCAATGGATTTGCACACTCAAAGTGACATGTTATTTTTCACGTTTCCCCCTATTCAAAGTGTTTTGAAAGACCCGCGACTCCATTCCAGCTCAGTGCAGCCGTGGCCTTCTGGGCCAGTGTTTGATCAGCTTCCTTGTTTCCTGTCCAAACAGAGAGCCACAGGAGGAAACTGTGTTTACCGAGCTGAGCGCCGCAGTCGGAGCCCTGTGAAGTCTCAAGGCCACAGAGACACATGTTTGGTATTTCTGCTTCTATCCGGATTGAACATTCCAGGTACATGTTAAAGGAACCCAATCCTTACAGACCTAAACAAAAACACGCTCACATATAAATATGATTCACCCAATGCCAAGCCCAGCAGCGTGAGCATATTCAAACAAACTGATTTCCACAGACCTTGAAAAAATGAAAAACAGACCTCTTGTTCCAGCGGAGGTTGAGAATTGTCTGAAGGTAAAGCTACATACTGCAGTCTCTCACACACACAGGTTGTGAATATTTACTCACAAGACCCTCCACTTCACCAAATTACACAAATTACTAACCTACGATTGACAAAGATCCCACTGTGTTTTAGTTTTTTGGGTGCAACTACAGTATTAATATTAATAAAAGTTTTTTTAATTTTCTGTAATTAGTAGTAGTTTTTCCTCTCTAAGAAAAAGTGACAATAAGGCCAAAGAATTAAGGAGAAGCCATGAAATAAGAACAGGGAAAGAAACTGATTAAAACGAATGGCAAGCTGCAGTGATTTCAAAAACCCTCCACACTTCTCTCATAGTCTAGCGATGAAACTAACAGGGAGGTTGAAGTGTTGGAGCGTCTTTCAGAGGTTCATAAAGTAATTTCCTTGTCACAAAGAGCTTTTACCATGGAGTGCAGTAAAGGCAAGGCCACAAGATTTCATATCAAAGCCAAGGTCCCAGATACACTCTCACTATTGTTGGTTTAATGCTCTGTAGCACTCTGTGGCTTGCTTTTATTTAAAAAGCTTTTAGTATGTGGCCTTGTTAATTGGAACAGTCATATACTGTTTACTTATATTTCTTCTTCCTTTGTGACTGTGTGATTTAAGAACCTCTATCACAATTTTTCCAAGGCTTATTGATATTCAAGATCCTTTGAAGTTCTTTATCGGATTAGACATGGATACACACACACATATGCAAACAAGCACACACACAGATTTCAAATTTTCAAAAATTATTTCTTATTATTTTAACCCATGAATCAGTTTAGGTCAGGCAGGAAAATAATGCTCCCTCTCACACAATGGTGGCAACATTTTAGACTACAGCTGGGGTGTCAAAGTACTTAATTTAATTATCATTTGTCCAGAAGCTGAACTCCTCCTAATTTCTAGGGTGGCCTTGAGCGAATGATTTTTAGTTTTTTTTAGATTACATCTACTGGAGTGACCTAATGTCCAAGTGGCAGCATGCTGGAACATTTAATGACAATCCTGCTCTGTATCTGGCTGATTGACACCAGGATATGTAGGTGGTGGAACGGGAGAACACACATTTCCCGGTCAGTTAGCCGCTCAAGGTTGCAGGGAGCCTGCAGCGGCGCGGGTGACCTTGGCTAAGCTAGAGCAGACAGAGAGAGACCTTGAGAGACAGCGGGGCAGCAGGATCTGGCGCTCAAAGAGCTGGGGAACATAATGTGGTAATGCATGACTATATATCACAGCACACAGTACCCATGTGACTGTGGATGGCAACTGGCTGGAAATGAGTGGATTTTTATCCACTCACATGTTCTTCTTTACTAGATATGTTTATACTGGTACTGGTGGTTTTAACACTATGTTGATTTGTGGATCACTGACATTTCTGGCTCTATATGCTTCTGCAAAGTGGGCAAAGCATGAGTGGGAAATTTCTCCAAATGTATACTAATACTTTGTTCTCATGACAAATATATTATATCTGTGGGTTTATCACACACGCAAACGTTTTGACCCCATTTTCTAAAGTTTGTGACATACTTGTTTTTTTATCCCGTGTTATTGTCTCTGGTTTTTATCTGTCTTAGTCCTCTTTACATGCTATCATAATAATAAATAATAATAATGTATAATACATTATCTTACACTATCCATATTCTTATTATAATCCCATGAACCTTTTACTGTGTATTGTGTACCAGCACTTTTAATGTTACAGTCGTTTATTTTTTTGTGCTGCTTTGCAGCTGTAATGTTTTATGTGGGCCAATTAAGATCTTTAGTTCAGAAGTTTTGAGCATTTGTTTTGAGTATTTACACACTATTAAAAAACTTTCACTTGCTCATATAAAAACTGTGGAAAATTCAATACTATTTTAGTTCACTACACTGCCACGAAAAGCTCAAGGTTAATGTGCTTGAATAAAATGGGAAAATTGTACAGGATTTTTCCTTTGGTGCAAATGTTGAGACTTTTCAATAAAAAAATATGTTGTGTTTGTGCACTATAATGCAAGTTTGAATTAACTTGTAACTCAGGTGTAAGTGAAGTTCACCATGTGGTCATTGAAAAACTGTATGAAAAGAAGCTCATAGAGCCAAATAGCAAAGAGATGTAAGTGTTTAAAATCCAAAGGTCTCAGTAATAGTTAATCTTTGATTACTTTATACAAAAGGTAACTAAAGAGATGCAGATTGACATTTGACATGTAGTGGAATAGAAGTGCTCTATAAAGGTGCATTAATATAATTGTCTGGAAAACATTTCTGAGGTTGGCAGAAGATGATGAGTAATTTCATAGTTCTGAAAAACGAAGAAAGTTTGATACTGTCAGGCTGGCATACTAAATGATAAAAAACATTGCATTTTCAAGGCCTTGTGGATCTTTAATCACACAAGTATCACAGAAGCACAGAAAAGTCAGACAGTATGACTCAAAGCCTGCTGGTAAATCACTTCATAAGTCTGAAATTGTGCTTGTTGTTGCTCTCGTTGTACATTTCTCAAATGAAGAACCTCACTGACAAATTTAATGAGAATTCTTGATCGTCTTTATCTCCTTTATTTTATTTTTAAATGTGTTTCACCTACCAATGTTTTTTTCCCTCACCTTGGTCTTTCCCATATGTGCGCCCTTCCCTGTTTTCCACTCACCCCCTCACCTCCTCCCACATCTCTTCCTTGCACGCCAACATTGTTATTAGTGTCATAATTTACCTCCTTATGCAAACATGACCCTGTCCTCGATATGCTATAAGGCAAAATATTCATACTGTAGTCACTGTGAGACCAATAAAGAATGAGATAGGAGGGACATAAATTATTGCTACACAGCTACAATATTTCATATTTCACTCAGTAGCCTCACATCACATGACACACATGCACACACACACACACACACGTACAGACACACACACACACACACACACACACACACACACACACACACACACACACACTGATGCATGCGTGTCGTACATGTGTTCTCAGTAATGGCTATACATGTGAAAAAGGAACATTATTTCATAGTGTGACATATATTTGGATAAGATAGGTAGATCAGCAAGGACAAGCGGAGATGAGAGGAAAAGAGGGATGGAAGCAGGTAAATAGGATATGCATATAGGAGCCAGGTGAGGCAATCTGCATTTTGATTGCTGTTATGTCTAAACGTGTTTTTACAACGCTACTGTCAAGTGAATCCTTTGTGACTTACAGGGGTAAGAGTGAGATAATTGGAATAAAGGTGTGTATTGTCAAAGTGAAGTATTGAGGAGACTGAATGAAGTGAACCCATCAGAGTGGCACTGGGGGACCATTGAGCTGTATGATTTCGGTAGCACATGCACACTCATTGGTTTGACCTTGGCAGCCTCTCTTTCCTCCCTCCTCCTTACATGTTAACCCCCCCCCAATCTTTCACCAACCAACCCCCGAGGGTCCCACTCAACCTTGGCTAATTAGCTCACGTCCCAGCGGCATATGTTCAACACACAATTTATCCACAACAAGGACATTACAACTGCAGTGTGCCGCCTCTGCACAGTCTCCCCCTCACTCCCTCATTTTGTTTTAGTGGGTTTCTTTGTATTTGTGTTTGTATGGGTAGGATACAGGTAGTACTGAGTTATCTTAAACCTCTAAATCTGACTTTATGTGCACCTTTTTGTGTTTTTTTTAGGACATTTGAAGCTGCTGTAATCAATATCTT